GGTGACCTTCACCTTTACGTGCAGATGTATCCTGGCACATACACCCAGGCCAAAACAGCTAGATATGACGTCACTATATCTATAGGTAATAGTTTATACCATGCTTCTTTACGTTAGTTCGGCGCAGGGGTCTCCAAACTTTTCAGTCCGAGGGCCGCATTAAGTATCAAATTTCAGTTCGGGGGCCAGTTTCTTCCAGGCAAGTCTTTGATTTTTCTGGGCAAAGTTCCTCAGCCATCACCAACAAACGTTTTTTTCCGTGGACAAAAAGATCTCCGCGGGCCGGATAAGAGGACCTCGCGGGCCGCATCCGGCCGGCGGGCCGTAGTTTGGAGAACCCTGGTTCAAAGCACGAAACACTATTATTTAGATTCGTCGTCTTAAACTTAGCTCTATCGAACCCCAAGGGTTCGGTGAGTTAGTCTCTAGGGTTCGGTGGATACCTAGCCACACACCCTACTCATACGATTCGCGTTCAGATTTTGTCAGTGAAAACGATGGAAATATTAAGAATGGTTCTTTGAATGAGCATTTAAAACTGATGGGGTTCGGTACCCCTAAAAATGTTTAAGAACCACTGATTTAGATAAAAAAAACAAAAAAAAACATAATTTGCTTAGATATGCATTTACTATTTCTTTCGCCTCGATTTTATATAGAAGCTTTTACATCTCTATTTATTAATACTAGCGTATTAATAGACTTTAGCCCGCAGTCTGTGCTGTGTTAAAATGTGGTATATTTATTCTGTATTGCACGGTGTGGTGGAATGGTAGACCATGAAACTGCTAACCCGAAAGCTCGAGTTCGGATACCGGGACATAGTCCACTGGATATCCCTGAGTCCACCCAGATCTCATGAGTACCTGGCTCAAGTTGGTGTAATCAAAGGCGGTTGGGTAAAATACTGACCACATTATCCCTTCATGTTCATGTTAATTGAAAAAGGTGAACTCGACTTCACTTGCGCCAATGGACCGTAATGTTTAAACGGTAATTTAGAATGGTTTTCGGGATGAAAGAAAAAATCTCGTCATAACATGTATTTATTTTAACGAAAAGAGTGTTTTTTTAAAAACTTTTAAAATAAGTTGCTACAATAATAAATAGACACAGTTCTCTGAGTTAACTCTAGTACTCTATTCTTATACACACGAGCTCAGCACTACACGTCCTGTCTCTGACTCTTCATTAACTGCCTAACATATACAGATCAACTACACTTCGAGGGTGACACAGTGAACACTCAAGGGGCGTAACCGTGATACCTAATACAAGGGACGTAACAGTCACTAACAAGACATAATGTAACACAACTAAATCTCCCATTTCTATTTCAGGAAGCTCAGAAGGCTATAAAATCAGTTTAACAGTAGAAGCTGTAGGGATCGGTCTGGGAATCGCTGTCATCCTAATTTTGTCCACATTCCTTATTTGTGTGGCTCGGGAGCGCAAACGTAAGTTTGAATTTTTTTTTCGATTTTGTAATACAAATTGATGTATGTTTAAATTAGTCTGGTATACACATTGATATTTAAAATTGATTTAAAATTTCAACATGTCGTTGTGTACTATTAATTTGTTGTCTTTCTTCCAAATGAAAACCTGAATGAGCAGTATGTCAGAGTGGAACTGAAGGTGACTTCACGTAAGTTTTATTTTACGAATCACATGGTTAAGTATATATATATATATATATATATATATATATATATATATATATATATATATATATATATATATGTATATATATGTATATATATATATATATATATATATATATATATATATATATATATATATATATATATATATATGTATATATTTATATATATATGTATATATATATATATGTATATATATATATATATATATATATATATATATATATATATATATATATATATATATATATATATACGCCTATATAGTTATACGCCTATATATATATATATATATATATATATATATATATATATATATATATATATATATATATATATATCTTCATGGGGACCTTGCTAGACACCACCACGTAAGGGCTTAGCCTTTCCTACCTCGTTCACTTGGCATATCGCTGCCACGTCACCCCACCTGTCTGGTGAACTAAGGTTCACCCCGAATGTTTACAATCGTAGAGCCGGCTATTAGGGGCAACTAATTTACATTTTAAACGATTTAAAACTAAGGGAAGGTAATAGCAAGTTTTGCTTGATCTTTTCATTGTCGTCTGTAAACTGTCGTCACGGAGGCTGCTTTCACGTTGGCGGGGGAGGAGAATCGAAGGGAGGGTAGTGTCGAATTATGAAGTACAGAAAAGTAGAAAAAGCAACTAAATAGCGGTGTATGCATGCGGTGCGGGTCAGCTCGTATACAATATCTTTACAGATGTATACGTCTAACTATCTCTCTAAAATACTTATATAGTGTCGAATATTTTAACCGTAGAAATACGGTTTAGCTTGCACTTTTAGAATATTGATAGTGTCTTAATGCTATTTTCGTTTTTTATTTTAAAAAAAAACAAATTTAGAATCAACAGTTATCTATTTGTTTCGTGATCATCATTCCAATAAACACATTGGACAAATGAAGTAGAGTTAACTTTTTTTTTACAACGTCGACATACAGCCGATAGTGAGGTAATTACTATTCCAAGCGCATAAGAATCCCTGAGTTAAGTCGTTAAGACGGATTCGAGCCCGGGATTCGAACTCGCGCTTTACGGGTTAGCAATCACATGCTTAGTCCACCGACCACGCCGTCGTCAATTTGTTTACATAACATTAAAGGTTTATTTCGTTTGCAGGGAACCGAGCATGCCTACAAAAACTAGCAGTCAAAAACAAGACACTGAAACTAACGAAATTACTTCAAAGAGCTGCAGAGAAACTGGAGTTAAAGGTGCAATAACAGACGGCATAATTATAGAGAGACTATAGCTAAAGTTATAATAACAATTTTGCTGCAGAGAAACTAGAGCTAAAGTTACAACAACAGACTTGCTACAGAGAAACTAGAGCTAAATTTACAATAACAGACAGCATACTTACAGAGAAACTAAAGCTAATGTTACTATAATAGACAGCATACTTACGGAGAAACTATAGCTAAAGTTACAATAACAGACAGTCTTGATACAGAGAAACTATAGCTAAAGATACAAAGCCATTCTTGCTACAGAGAAACTAGAGCTAAAGTTACAATAACAGTTTTGCTACAGAGAAACTAGAGCTAAATTTACAATAACAGTTTTGCTACAGAGAAACTAGAGCTAAAGTTACAATAACAGTTTTGCTACAGAGAAACTAGAGCTAAAGTTACAATAACAGTTTTGCTACAGAGAAAATAGAGCTAAAGTTACAATAACAGTCTTGCTACAAAGAAACTAGAGCTAAATTTACAGTAACAGACAGCATACTTACGGAGAAATTGTAGCTAAAGTTACAATAACATACAGTCTTGATACAGAGAAACTATAGCTAAAGATACAATGCCATTCTTGCTACGGAGAAACTAGAGCTAAAGTTACAAATAACAGAAATCTTGGTACAGAATAATGTGAACTGTGATACCATAACAGAAAGCATTGGTAGGCCTACATAGCAGCAGAACGATTAGCTACTCTTTGACCTATAGAAGTGTGCATGGCTTATACATTTTCGTGAACCAAATGAACGAATGACAGCTGGACTAACGGAGTTTTTTGAGCGGCTAGCGTGCTTGTTTCTAGTATTTATTCAGATAAAGGGAGATGGGATGTTCAGGGGGGTGGGGAAGGGGCAACTCCCCCTCTCTAAAGAAGCACCGACCCGGACTAAAAAACGTAATTATATATAGGCATACAAACTTATACTTGATCCGGATATTTTGAGTGCTCCCCTCTCCCGAAAGTTTCGGGTGCCCCCACCCCTTCTCATAAACTAATGCCTGAACTAATTATAATGGGTTACCTTATATGTGGAGGTTCGCTATATCAAGTTTAAGTGATCAAATTATATGTAGACGCCGTATGAGTGGTGGTATATGTATAACAGTAACCTCGAGACTAAAAGCTTATCATTGGGACACTATTCTAAAGTGCAACATGCCTATCAAATAGTAATATATCAAATGCTTTGTTTATTTGTTCGTTTATGTGTTTAACAAGGTATTAAAATATTTTATTATGAATAATACAAAATATGTGTTCATGTTTTAATTATATTCACTGCACTGTGTGAGTCGATCACTTAATTAACAAACAAAAATGGCAATTTTGCTCTCGCAGTTAATTAAGTAAAACAGGTAATCTAATGTCACTTGTGTACAGTTACCAAATGCAGTGGCGTAGCGAGGTCGGGTGTCACCCGGTGCGGCACTTAATGGTGACACCCCCCCCCCCCAGAAGCATAGAGACCCTTCCCGGGGACAAACTTTCAAATTTTCGATTTGCACCCCCCCCTCAAACTTTCGATTTGCACCACCCCCCTCAAACTTTCGATTTGCACCCCCCCCTCAAACTTTCGATTTGCACCCCCTCCCTCGAGATTTCTCTATATATTTTGCTATGTTTTACCTTGATGTCACCCCCCTAAATGGTGTCACCCGGTGTGGTCCGCAACCCCCGCCCCCCCCCCCCCCCCCCCCTCGCTACGTCCCTGACCAAATGCCGCTAGAATAACTACATTGATGATAAATGTTGCCCAATCGCTAAACCTAGGTCTATGTTTATTCCTGAATTAACCAAGATTGCGTTACTTTTCTAGTCGTAAACATTTCGACGTATAAACTTCGTTCAACAGTTACCAGAGTATTTAGAGGCAATCGTGCCTTATCTGAATGTGGTTCGAACTAAGGAATTTTAGCTTTAGCAAACTTGCGTTTTAGCAGCCCGACCAAACCTATTCTAATATTTTCTTGAACACACTTATATATTGCGCACCAGGAATGTGTTGAGTAAATTGTGTACCATTTCACATTCAGATTTAAAATAAAACACGGAAGTCGCACAACAGTGGTGCAACTTGTAAACACAGAGAAAATAAATAAACCATCATCAACAAATGAACATGCTGTTTATTGTTCTAGCGTTATCAATGCTCTGTGGATGCCAAGTCGCCGCAGATTGTGAGTTCAAATCATGCTTTATGAAGAGATAGTTGTCAACATTACAATTAGATTCCTGTTTAGAAAATAACAGTCCATAGCGCAAGGGGAGTAGAGTTCACCTGTTTTTGTGACCTAGGCATATGAAGGAATAGTGTGTGAGCATCATACAAATCCCTTTTTACTTTCCCTATCCTGAGTTAGGTACCCATTAAGGCTGGTTAGACAACAACGATCTAAGGAAACTTGAGTTAGGTACCCATATTAGCTGGATAGACTCAGAAACGTTCTAATTGAAACTTGAGTTAGGTACCCATCTTAGCTGGATAGACTCAGAAACGTTCTAATTGAAACTTGAGTTAGGTACCCATCTTAGCTGGTTAGACTCAGCAACGTTCTAATTGAAACCTGAGTTAGGTACCCATCAGTGCTGGATAGAATCAGCAACGTTCTAATTGAAACCTTAGTTAGGTACCCATCTTAGCTGAATAGGCTCAGCAAGGTTCTAATTGAAACTTGAGTTAGGTACCCATCAGAGATGTGTATAATCAGAAACGTTCTAATTGAAACTTGAGTTAGGTATGCATCAGAGCTGGATAGACTCAGCAACGTTCTAAGGAAACCTGAGTTAGGTACCCATCAGAGATGTGTAGACTTAGCAACGTTCTAATTGAAACTTGAGTTAGGTACCCATATTAGCTGGATAGACTCAGCAACGTTCTAGTTGAAACTTGAGTAAGGTACCCATCAGAGCTGTGTAGAATCAGAAACTTTCTAATTGAAACTTGAGTTAGGTACCCATATTAGCTGGATAGACTCAGCAACGTTCTAATTGAAACTTGAGTTAGGTACCCATCAAAGCTGTGTAGAATCAGCAACGTTCTGATTGAAACTTGAGTTAGGTATTCATCAGAGCTGGATAGACTCAGCAACGTTCTAAGGAAACCTGAGTTCGGTACCCATCTTAGCTGGGTAAACTCAGCAACGTTTTACTGCACTAAACCCGGATTCGAACTCGAGACATTCAGATTGTAAACACAACAACATTAGTTACGATTTGCCTCACATAGGAGGGCGACACGCTCTGACAGAACTGTTCATGTTTAAAATACTTAGCAATATCGTTCTCATCACGCAACACTCTTCTAAAAACATACAACATACGCTATACAATTGCCTGTTTCTGATATTTTATTTTATTTTATTCAGCTAAAAACCAGTGGCGTAGCTAAGGAAGGGCGGGTAGGGCGGCCGCCCCGTGCTCCGAATCTAAGGGGCTCTAAAATGATTAAATTGAATTATAAACAGTCAAGTTTAGGAAAGTACGCGGCTACTAAACACTGTTAACTGTTTTCTATAACAATTGTGTGGCACTACATTACAAACATTTACGGGAAAGTGACTGGGAAAAATTGCAAACAACCTATGCGGGGGGGGGGGGGATGCTTTTCCACCTACTTGAAAAAGTATGTATATACATACAAGAAAAAAAAGGGGGGGGGCGCAAAATTGATTGTTTGGAATGTGTCGCTAAGCCTCTGTTAAAAACACTAAATCATTTACTCCTATGGTAAAGTATATGCTACTCTATATCAATACCAATTTCATGCAAATCTTGTATTGCACATTTATTTTCTGTTATACAATTTTCTATTTATGATATTTCTATTTATCCAGTTGAAAACACAAACGCATTCACTCCTTTAGTAAAGTAGGCCTGTATGTTATTTGAATACAAAATACATTTCTTACAATTCTTGCATTGAACAGAAACGTATAAATATATAATACGATTTTCTATTTCTGAGATTTTAATTTATTCAGTTTAAAAATACAAACGTATTCACTCCTTTAGTAAAGTATATGCTTTTCGATAACAAAACATATGTCTTGCAATTATTGTATTACACAGATATAAATCTATAATACGATTTTCTGTTTCTGATATTTTAATTTATACACTTAAAAACACAAAAGTATTCACTCCTCTGGTAAAGTATATGCTATTAGATTAAAAAAAAATATTGCATTTTTTGTATTGCACAAATTCGTATAAATCTATAAAACATATGTCCTGCAATTATTGTAATACACCGATATGTATAAATCTATTATAAGATTTTCTATTTATAATACTTTAATTTATTCAGTTAAATACACACACATATTCACTCCTTTAGTGAAGTATATGTTATTTAATATCAGAACAAATGTCTTGCAATTATTGTTTTACACAGATATGTATAAATCTATAATACGATTTTTCTAATTCCAATATTTTAATTTATTCAGTTAAAAACACAACCATATTCACAAATGCCTTGCCACGATTGTATTACACAGATATGTATACACATATAATAAGAATTTCTATTTCCAATATTTTAATTTATTCAGTTAAAAACGCAACCATATTCACAATTGTCTTGCCTTTATTGTATTACACAGATATGTATAAATCTATAATACGATTTTCTGTTTCCAATATTTTAATTTATTCAGTTAAAAACACAACCGTATTCACAAATGTCTTGCCTTTATTGTATTACACATATATGTATAAATCTATAATACGATTTTCTATTTCCAATATTTTAATTTATTCAGGCATAATTCAGCCATAAAGTGGTTAAAACACAACCATATTCACAAATGTCTTGCCATTATTGTATTACCTATATATATATATATATATATATATATATATATATATATATATATATATATATGTCTTGCCTTTATTGTATTACACAGATATGTATAAATCTATAATACGACTTTCTGTTTCCAATATTTTAATTTATTCAGTTAAAAACACAACCATATTCACAAATGTCTTTCCATTTCTGTATTACACAGATACGTATAAATCTGTAGTACCCAAGCTAGTGAAGCAGGGTGAGCCCTATGTGATTTACTGCGACCCCATTCTTGCAGGAGTTACGGAAAAATCCCAGGGAGTTATAAATTTAAAGCTGACCTACAAAAACTACTTTGCTAAAATAGATCTTAAGGTAAGTCTCCAAAACAGACATAATTACCAGACTATCGGGCGGTATAGACATTTGTTTTGAAATATTGTATCCAGTGTTTCTTCCAGGCTTTTTTTTCTCCAAGGGAGGGGGGGCGGTAGACTTTCTTCGGTGGGGGGGGGGGGGGGGGTGCGGACACTGTTAAAAGTATAAATTTTCTATATAAATTATATAAATTTCATTTCGTTCGTGGGGGGGGGGGGGGGGGGGGAGGCGAGATGAAGAGATGCCTGGAAGAAACTCTGATTGTATCTAATCTGCCAAATCCCAACGGTACAATTTCATGGAAACATGTAATTACAATATTAATTAAGATTTTATCCCCATTTGATTACTCTAAATTCAATACAACCATTCAAACCAATTAATTTAACTTTAACAGCTTAGTTTAACTAGTTCAAGGCCGACACATGAATGTAGCACCTGATTAGATTAGAGACACTGCGTCATACAAACCAATCACCATATTCAACATAAAACCCCGACCATAGTATATTTTTCTTCTTAATCCCATTCGTGCCCAAGACACATGGGGCAGATGAAGTAGAATTTATCTGATTCATTGACCACGGCATATTAAGCGATAGTGTAGCCTGGGTGGACCCACTGATTCGAACTTGATACTCTTGGGTTAGCAGTTTAGATATCTACCGCTTGGCCACACCGCCCCATCCTTTTTAGTATACCGTTGACAAATAAATTAGTATTTTGTAATTTTTCATTCATCTATAATAATAGTTTCGCTGTCTGTCTGACAAGAACGCTCTGTCTGACAAGAACGCTCTGTCTATAATAATAGTTTCGCTGTCTGTCTGACAAGAACGCTCTGTCTGACAAGAACGCTCTGTCTGACAAGAACGCTCTAGAGAAAACACAAGCAATTTAAAAACATGCACAGTAATTCGAAAAACGAAATATGACGTCGACACATTTAGCGTAGAGTAGAACATAATCTCAAACCAGAGAGTGCACACAGTAATGTAATGACGTCATTGATTCTCGCGTAAACTTTGAAAAAAAAGGAAATGTTGTCTAATCTAAATGGTTTGCGTGAAGAGTTTCTTGCATACAATTCTTCGGGTAGGGGCGAAGCCCCACCCCCCGCGTAAGAACGTCTGAGCCCCCTCCCCCCCTCCCCAACTCAAAAGAAATTCCTCATCGATACTCTATAATAAAATTACCGCCTAATTAATGTGTCTAATCTAAAAAGTGGTTTTCTTGCAATGGGACGGTAGACATGATTTTTTTTAAGGGGGGGGGGTGGGGGGGTGGGGGGGTGGAGGGGTGGGGTGGGGGGGGGGGGTGTGGGGGGTGTGTGCGGGTGGGGGGGGGATGGGGAGTGATGTGTGGGGGGTGGGTTGGTTTCAGTGTTTCTTTCAGACTTTTTCCTCCCCGGAGAGGGGTGGGGGTACTTGAAATTTTCGGGGGCGGGGGGTAGAATTTTCTGGGAGGGGGCGGACACTGGAAAAAGTATATAATTATATTTCGTTGAATGGGACGGTAGACATGTTTTTTTGGGGGTGGGGGGGGTGGTGGAGGGGTGGGGGGGGGTGGTGTGTGTGGGGGGGGTGGTGTGTGTGGGGGGTGGGGGGGGGGGTGGGGGGGTGTGGGGGGGTGGGGTTGGTTTCAGTGTTTCTTTCAGACTTTTTCCTCCCCGGAGAGGGGTGGGGGTACTTGAAAATTTTCGGGGGGCGGGGTAGAATTTTCTGGGAGGGGGCGGACACTGGAAAAAGTATATAATTATATTTCGTTGAATGGGACGGTAGACATGTTTTTTTTTTTGGGGGGGGTGGGGGGGTGGGGGGGGCGGTGTGTGGAGGGGGTGGTGTGTGGGGGTGAGGGGTGGGGGTGGGGGTGGTGTGTGGTGGGGGTGGGGGTGGGTGTGTTGGGGTGAGGGGTTGGGGTGGGGGTGGTGTGTGGTGGGGGGGTAGGGGTGGGGGTGGTGTGTGGGGGTGAGGGTGAGGGGTTGGGGTGGGGGTGGTGTGTGGTGGGGGATGGGGGTGGTGTGTGGGGGTGGGGGGGGGTGGGGTGGGGGTGGTGTGTGGGGGGTGGGTTGGTTTTAGTTTAGAGAAAAGAGACAGCACTATCAGCCTAGCGCCCTTTGTACCCTTCCTCAACGGGCCATTTTTCTCGTCTATAATAATAGTTTTCGCTGTCTGTCTGTCTATCTGACAAGAACGCTCTGTCTGACAAGAACGCTCTGTCTGACAAGAACGCTCTAGAGAAAACACAAGGAAAATAAAAACATGCACAGTAATTCGAAAAACGAAGTATGACGTCGACACATTTAGCACAGAGTAGAAAATAATCTCAAGCCGGATAGTGCACACATTAATATGACGTCATTGATTATCGAGTAACATTCAATACAAAGGCAATTTGGTCTAATCTAAGTGGTTTGCGTGAAGAGTTTCTTTTATACAATTCTTCGGGTAGGGGCGAAGCCCCCACCGCCCGCGTAAGAACGTCTGAGCCCCCCCCCCCCTCCCCAACTCAAAAGAAATTTCTTCATCGATACTCTAAAATAAAATTACCGCCTAATTAATGTGTCTAATCTAAAAAGTGGTTTTCTTGGCAATGGGACGGTAGACATGTATTTTTTTTTGGGGGGGGGGGGGGGGGGGGTGGTGGAGGGGTGGGGGGGTGGTGGTGTGTGTGTGGGGGTGGGGGTGGGGTGGGGGGGTGATGTGTGGGGGGATGGGTTGGTTTCAGTGTTTCTTTCAGACTTTTTCCTCCCCGGAGAGGGGTGGGGGTACTTGAAATTTTCGGGGGCGGGGGGGTAGAATTTTATGGGAGGGGGCGGACACTGGAAAAAGTATATAATTATATTTCGTTGAATGGGACGTTAGACATGTTTTTTTTTGGGGGGGGGGGGGGTGGAGGGGGTGGGGGGGTGGGGGGGCGGTTGTGTGGAGGGGGTGGTGTGTGTGGGTGGGTGGGGGTGGTGTGTGGGGGTGGTGTGGGGTGGGTGGTGGGGGTGGGGGTGGTGGGTGTGGTGGGGTGGTGGTGTGTGTGGGGGGGTGGGGTTGGTTTTAGTTTAGAGAAAAGAGACAGCACTATCAGCCTAGCGCCCGTTGTACCCTTCCTCAACGGGCCATTTTTCTCGTTGTTGAAATAGTTAGGACTATTAATATAAGAAATGTACATAGAAATGTTTCATAGTTATTATATTATGCACGTTACCTATTCAACCATGCCCCCGAGATAAACGTTTTAGTATTTAAAAAATAAAAACTGCATAAAACTACAAAATCCCTCTCACCCATGTTCTGTAACTCCTCTTAAAAATGGGTTCTATATTTCTTTGCTTGTTCTCTGGAGGTCATAATAGTCTTTCCCGGTTTGTGCTTTGGATACATGCAGCAGATGAAGTTGAGTTTGAATGTTTTAATGACCTCGATATTCAAGGGGATGTTGTGGTCAGCATTATGCCCAGCCACCTCAGTGAGGCAGGTACTCATCAGAATAGCGTAAACACAGAGACGTCCTAGAGATTCGAGAGCGATCCAAATTCGGAATTTTCTATTATATATATAATAATAAGTTGCGGACGGAGTGGTCTAGCGGTTAGAGAGCTGGACTACTAACCCGTAAGTCACGAATTCGAATTCGGGTTCAGGTCAGTAGACCGACCCTGACGCAACCCAACACTGATGGGTACCTAACTCACGTGGCTACAGGACATTATCCCTCCCCCCACCGGAAATTACCCCCCGGACATCCCCTCCGTATTTACCCCCCCCCCGCTGGAGCGATTACCGCCCCTGTCAATTACCCCCTTCCGTGAATTACCCCCCACTCTCAAGTAGAATCCTAACTCTAATTAGAATTCTATACCTATATACTACTTTAATCCTAACCTTATGAAAAAGACCAAAACATAAGCATCCAACTTAACACTAAAGGCAAAACCAACGCTAGATATTTGTTTAGCCCTAGCCCTAGCCCTAGCCCTAGCCCTAGCCCTAGCCCTAGCCCTAGCCCTAGCCCTAGCCCTAGCCCTAGCCCTAGCCCTAGCCCCTAGCCCTAGCCCTAGCCCGCCCTAACTCTGTCCGGGGTGGGAAATTACTCCGGAGGGTAATGTCGGGGGGAAATGTCCGTTGGGTAATTGACGGGGGGGGGGGGGTGGAAATAAAAGCGGCTAGGCATAGTGCTGACCACACTATATCTCCATATGCCGAGGTCACATAAACTTACAATACTTAGTATTATTTTAAGATAACTTTTTTTTGAAACAAATATATTTAAACACAGGGATTTCACAAAAACCTCCCACCCGGGTGGGTCGGTTTTCAGGAGGGAATGTACGGCGGAAAAAACGGGTATGAATTGTACGGTTTATCAGCCATACGTATCAAAGTTGTAGTCGAGCAAGCTGAAGACACGGAGAGCGGCCAAGTTTGTTGCGGTAGTGAATACGAATTCTTCGGCAGTCGTCAGGAGTACATACAAGAATGTCAGGAGGTGAAAGGTCGGTCTATTGGAAGTACAGTAGTGTAAAGTAACTACAGTCAGGGTTTCTTCCAGGCAATTTTTTTTTTACGGTGGTGTGGGGGGAATGGGGGCTTGAAATTTTCGGGGGGGGGGGAGGAGAAATTTAAATTTTTCCTGGGTTGTGGCGGACTTTGGTAAAAGCATATATTTTCTATATAAATTCAATTTTTTCCGGGGGGGGGGGGGGGAGGGAAGGGGCGGAGTTATAACTATAGCAATGTAAAGTAACTACTGTATTTCGGTCAGTTTTATACAATGCAAAATGTTAAGTGTTTAAAGTATTTCGGTCAATTATACATAATACAAAGTACCTTCAGTATTTCGAGTATTATAAATACTGCACTGTAAAGTTAATACATTATGTCGGTCATTTTAAATACAGCAACATAAAGTAACTGCAGTAATATAAATATAGTTATGTAAAGTAACTATAATATTTCAGTAAATTATAAATACTGCAAAGTAAAGTAACTACAGTATTTCGGTCAATTTTAAATATAGGCCTATAATGTGAAATAACTACTGTATTTTGGTCCTTTATCTAAACTGCTTTGTTTTTTTTGAAAAAAGTCAATTGTAACAATTAACCCCTAACTATAAGACGATGCAGAGTTTCGAATTAGTCTGTTAAGGTTGTTTACCAGAAGACAATAGCGTAGGAGACAGAGGGAGGAAGATAAAGAATGAAAAAAGAGAGTGATAATCAGAGAGACAGAGCTAAAGAGGGAGCGTGAGTGAAAGAGAACGCAAAAAGTAGAAATATGTCACGATGAAGCTATTTTTATCTTAAGCAATGCATTGTAGATAAGAGTATACAAGAGTATATATCATTTTCTCTGTTTGATATTTGTGTTACATTGATGAATACATTCATATAAAAAAAACTGTTTTCACATTGATAACACTGCAAATTTCATTGTCAACAGTACATACAATGTAATTGTTTTAATCTGTGTTTTATTCAGTCTCCAACAAAGCGTTAGTGGATCTCTCTACACCCGGCGTGGGGAAAACTGTGAATGTTTTATGTCAAGTCGACTTCGTCGTAGATATTGAAACCTCTGAACTGGAATATGTAATGCTGGCATGGGCTAATCAGCATTCATATATTGAATATAGCATGTCAGCAGTGAGTTGGTTTGCTTTTATTAAGACGTTTTTAACAAAAATTATGAATCAGGACAAATGTATATGTCACAACCTTTTTGTGTGACTGGGTTCACGATATAAACTTGCCACAGGCCTTTCTCCTACCTTTATCTATCACATACGAAATCACAAGACAAGCCTTCTTTTACGTTCTATATACATTTATTTTGTCTTCACATAGACAGCGTGTTCAGCCAACTTACGCCATGTTCTTGCCTTCCTCTCTCACGCATGCGCACAACTACTGTCTTTTTCTGATGCAATCTCAAAAACACACTCCCAAGATACGATCCAACAATGTTTCACTGTTATAGTATACGTGATTTGTAATTTACAAAAATATGCAGAGGGTATACTTTCTGAAAGTAAAAATCCCTTTGCAAACCTGACGGTCTATGGGGCAAGTGAAGTATAGTTCACTTGTTTCTGTGACCTCGGCATATGAAGAGATAGTGTGGTCAGCACTATGCCCAGCCGCCTTTACTTTCCCTAACGTGAGTTAGGTACCCATCAGAGTTGGATGGACTCAGGAACGTTCAACTGACTTGAACCCGGATTCGAACTCGATACTTACGGATTAGTAGTCCAGCTCTCTACCGCTAGACCACACAGTCCCTTTTTGCGAGCGTGGCCTAAGTGGTAGAGTGCTAGACTGCTAACACAAAAGTCTTGAATTCGAATTCGGGTCCAAGTCAGTTGACCATATGGGACGTAGTGGTCTAGCGGTAGAGAGCTGGACTGCTAACCCGTAAGTCTCGAGTTCGAATCCGAGTTCAAGTCATTAGACTGTCCCCGAGTCAACCCAACTCTGATGGGTACCTAACTCACGTTAGGGTAAGTAAAAGCCCTAAAAAAAAACCCTAACCCTAACCCTAACCTTAACCCTAACCCTAACCCTAACCCTAACCTTAACCTTAACCCTAACCCTAACCCTAACCTTAACCCTAACCCTAACCCTAACCCTAACCCTAACCCTAACCCTAACCCTAACCCTAACCCTAACCCTAGCCCTAGCCCTAGCCCTAGCCCCAGCAGTCATCAAATCTACGACTCGACCACGCCGTCCCACACATCATTAACAAACCAACATGCCTGTACAACTTCAGAATGAGCCGAACCAAACGAGTTCGCTCGTAAAGGCCAGCAAACCACACTGGAGCTACACGCACACTGGGACTGATGTGAACAGCAACCGCCGGTTTAACACGAAGGGAGCCACACTGGGGATAACAATCAGTAAAGTTGAGCTCGAGGACTCCGGGTTTTTCTGCTGCGGTTTGATTTACTATGACCATGAGGATGCGAGGAAGTATGAGCACAGATGTCAATATATGCACGGTGAGATTATTATTGTATGGCTTGATACAGCATTGTAAAGCAGTATGATAGATTATCCTGTATATTGGGTCTTTTCTGCTGCGGTGTGATTTACTATGACCGTGATGATGCGAGGAATTATGAGCAAATATGTCAATATATGCACGGTGAGATAATTAGTGTATAGATTGATACAGCATTATAAGTCAGTATAATAGATTATCCTGTATATTGGGTCCATCAGCTAAGTGGAGAGATGCGACTCCCCCCCCCCCCCCCCGAACGAAATGAAATTTATATAATTTATATATAAAATATATACTTTAACAGTGTTCGCCCCTCCCCCTTGAAGAAAGTCTACCGCCCCACCCCCTAAAATTTCAAGTGCCCCTCGGAGAAAAAAGTCTTGAAAAAACAATGCCTGATACATAGGCTACATGAGGATTTCTTAACTTCGGCCCCAAGCTTTGTGCTTGGATTTAAAATGCGCAATCATCCCATCTCTATTAGACTATGGAGCCAAATATAGAAGATTTCCATTTTGGGTTCTTACGTTTGTTTTTAAATGACTAGGGACAAATCTAGACTTATAAACGATCGAGAAATTCCGAGCATCT